GGTTTGCCCCCCCCCCCCCCACACACACATATATATATACCGAAATCATAGGCCACAGATGGTGTCTCTACAAAAGTTTTGCTGGTAACAATGGGGATTGGTGAAGGGGTTCCACTTCTCTTATCCTTTGCATGGCTTCTTTTGGCTTTTCATGCTGGTTCAATTTCAGCAGGGAGGTCTACTTACATAGTCCATATGGACAAAACCTTCATGCCCAAAGCTTTTGCGAGACACGACCTCTGGTACTCCTCCATCGTTGATTCCATACACCAAGTGGGTCCAACTTCATCCAACAGCCCTCATTCCAAACCAGAGATTGTCTATACTTATGACAATGCATTTCATGGTTTTAGTGTTGTGCTGTCTCAAGATGAACTAGATGCTGTAAAGAAATCCCCAGGGTTTGTGTCTGCTTACAGTGATAGGTCTGTCACGGTTGATACCACCCACACCACTGATTTTCTATCCCTCAATCCCTTCACAGGACTATGGCCAGCTTCAGAATATGGCAAAGACGTTATCGTGGGTGTTATTGACTCTGGTGTCTGGCCAGAAAGTCTAAGCTTTCGAGACCATGGAATGACAGAAATTCCATTAAAATGGAAAGGAACGTGCGAGGTTGGACGAGAGTTCAATTCTTCCTTGTGTAACTTAAAGCTCATTGGAGCTAGATACTTCAACAAAGGAGTAATAGCTGCACATCCTAACATTACTTTGAGTATGAATTCCGCAAGGGATACATTTGGTCACGGCACACACACTTCGTCCACAGCTGCTGGAAATTATGTTGAAGGTGCCTCATTCTTTGGCTATGCTTCGGGGATGGCACGAGGGGTTGCCCCGCGTGCTAGAGTGGCAATGTATAAGGTCCTCTGGGATGAAGGGCGCTACGCTTCTGACGTTCTTGCTGGTATGGACCAGGCTGTTGCTGATGGTGTCAATGTAATATCGATTTCCATGGGTTTTGATGATGTTCCTTTATATGAGGATCCAATTGCGATAGCTTCATTTGGTGCCATGGAGAAGGGTGTGCTAGTTTCTTCTTCAGCAGGAAATGAAGGCCCAGATCTTGGAAGATTACACAATGGGATTCCATGGGTGTTGACAGTGGCAGCAGGCAGAATAGACCGCTGGTTTGCTGGGACATTGACTTTAGGGAATGGGTTAACCATCACTGGTTGGACCATGTTCCCTGCAAGAGCCGTTGTGGCAGATGTTAAGCTTGTTTACAATAAAACCATATCGGCTTGCAATTCAACGCAGCTATTAACTGGAGCCCCAAATGGAATCATCATTTGCGATAACACCTGGCCATTCGAGGAACAAATAAGCAACATTGCTACGTTATCGAATTTTGTAGCAGGTATCTTTGTCTCTGATGATCCTCTGTTATTTGTGTCCAATTCTTTTTCATATCCTGGAGTGGTGGTTAGCTCAAAGAATGCTCAAGCGGTTATCAATTATACTTTAACCGGAGGTGTTGAACCTACGGCCAGCATTAAGTTCCAACAAACCTTTGTGGGCACAAAACCTGCACCAGCTGTGGATTTGTACACTTCCAGAGGTCCCGCACCGAGTTATCCAGGCATTCTGAAGCCTGATGTAATGGCACCAGGGACATTGGTCTTGGCTGCTTGGATTCCGAACGGTTATGCATCTAAAATTGGTTCAAATATAGTCTTGGCTAGTGATTTCAATGCCATCTCAGGTACATCCATGGCTTGTCCTCATGCATCTGGTATTGCCGCACTTCTTAAAGGTGCACACCCAGAATGGAGTCCTGCAGCTATTCGTTCTGCAATGATGACCACTGCAAATCCATTCGATAATACACAGAATCTTATCAAAGACATTGGCCAAAATTTCGAAATAGCTACACCTCTAGCCATGGGAGCGGGACAAGTTGATCCAAACCGCGCACTTGATCCAGGTTTGATATATGATGCTACTCCACAAGACTACGTTAATCTCCTCTGCTCCATGAATTTCACTCGGAATCAAATCCTAACCATAACCAGATCAAACAGTTATCCTTGCTCGAACCCATCTCCTGATCTGAATTATCCATCATTTATCGCTTTGTACTCTAACAAAACAGCAGGCGTGTTGGTTCAGAAATTTCAGAGGACTGTCACAAATGTAGGGGATGGTGCAACGACATATAAGGTAGAGGTAGAAGCACCAAAGGGGACTGTAGTCACAGTATCGCAGGACACATTGGTGTTTGGACAAAAGTATGAAAAGCAGAGCTACTCTTTGACTATCAATTATTCAGGTGACAACAATGGAACTGTTACATTTGGTTTTATTGTTTGGGCCGAAGTTAATGGTAATCACACAGTGAGGAGTCCTATAGTGGTTTCACCAGTGGTAGCTGTTTGGTGATCATTCTTGGGTGCATGGAATGTTATACAGGTTATGCAATATCGAGCAAGACATCCAGAAAAAGAACGTAGTAGTGAATTGTGAAGTAAAATGTTTGAAGTTTTCAATAAATTGAGATTCAATTGGGAGAAACAAATTTCTTCCCTTTTGAGCAATTTGGTTCTTCTTGCAATGTAATTTCTTTTATGTTCTTAGTTTACTTTATCTTATCATTTTTATAATTAAATACTACAAATACATCACACTACACTACAGTCAGTAGTTACAAATTACTTTTCAATATGATATCGAAACCTTTTATGTTGATGTCATAACCTACACAATATGTAGGATTAGGTTTTTTGAAAACTATGAGCTCTATGGTGGAGTGGAACCCTTTTTCTAGTTTTGAAGTACCGGTGTGACGACCAACATGTCTCCTTCCATGAAAATGGAGTCCTGAACCTCTACCCTTAAATGTTCTTTTAGGCTGCTCCTGCATCTATAATGGGTGCTTGACTAGGGTATTGATGAAAAGAAAATTGTACCGTAATTCTATAATTTATTATTTTAATGACTATTTTTATAATTTTTATGGATTATTTTGTAACTAAAAAATTTGTCATTTCTATGGGTGATTTACTATTTTTGTGGGTATTTTTATCATTATTATAGTTGTTTTTATTATTGTTGTGGTAACTATTTTTTTACCACTTTTCTTTTAATAAAAAAAATATAACCTTTGTGGGTAATTTTCCACATTTGTAGTTATTTTTACTACTGGTAACTATTTTTATCATTTTCTTAGATATCATAACAATGATAAAGATAATTACAAAGAGAGAAATTAATCTATAAGATATAAGATATATGATTAATAATAATAATTAATATATAAGATATATGATTAATTTTTTTTTTATTAAAAATGCCATTAATAAAGAGAGAGAAATTGGATCCCTTTCTTTCTAACATGGACTTTGTTATGCATGAGTCTTATTAATTCTGAATTTAATTGGGCCAAATAAAACTATTCGACAAATAAAATTGAGGTCCCAGTTTTTGGGGGCCTTAAGCAAAGATTTAAGTGGCTTATCTCTGAGTCGCCCTGGTAACATGCTAATGGAACATAGTTTATGCCTAAGGCTATTTGTTACTGTATCACCAAATATGACAAATTTTTGTAATTGAGATAGAAGTTTTTGAATTCGTTTAAAACAAAAAAATATTGTAACTTTTTGGATTGTGTTACAACTTTTATAATTCAATTACAATTTTTTTAGGGCTATTTATAAATTTTTGGGTTACTTTTTAGAATGGATCCCAAATAACCCTAAAAATTATAAATGATTCTTAAAATTTGTAAATGATGCAAAAAAATATGTAAATGACCTCTAAAAGTTGTAAATGAATTCCAAAATTTATTGTTTAAAAAATACTATAAAATTTGTAAACGATAGTGCGATATCGATTTTTTTTTCCAGTACCATATTCTTCTCCGATAGTTTATAATAGGCTAAGCATCCCCAGATAATATCCTGAAAGAATCAATTCAACGCGAACGTTACAATTGTTACAATCAGAAATCAAAAAAAGTCTTAACCTCAGGCCGGGAGAGTTAACCCAAGTCAACGGAATAGAGTTAGACATCACATTTTGTTGCAACCTAATGAGGTGCTCTATTAAGAGCTATTGGCTTGTGTTAAAACCTTAAATTTAAGGCTATGGAGAAGTGTCTAATGTCTTCAACAAAGGCACAGATTTTCCATCAGAGAATTCCTTCTATTGAGCTCAGTTTGAAGTTGTACCTTCAAACCACATCGTAAGCTCAAAAAGTAATATTAGAGGTGAAATAAGTCAGACTCAAAATTTAGCGGAACCAATGGTCTTTAATTTAAATCAAGCTAATGATTAAAACTCATCACTTCACTATAAGATTCTTTAATTTTGGGTCGAATTCTATCTTTTAGGCCCTCAAAATTCCGTTTTAAGAAAAATTTTAAAAAATAATAATAAATTATAAGTGATTCTGAATTCAGCGCTGTCAGTTTTGTTAGACTCTAAACGACAGGTGTTTTTATGTTAATTAAAAAAATTGCATATTTTCATTTTTGATAATTTTCGTAATATTAGAAATTTTGCTTTAGTTTGAGAATAATTAGGATTTTTGCCGTTCATATTTATATTATTCCTTTATACTACGGATTAGCCATTTAATAATATCATATTTTAGTGTTTTTTCCTATTCTCTATATGAAATCAGAGTTTTCCTTTTAGTTCAATACATAAAGAATCGTAATTTTTTTGTGTTCTTTTTTCCGCTACGTCACTTTGGCCATGGAGCGAGGACAAATTTTTTTTCCTTGGGTGGTATATAAAATATAAATTGATGGCAAAGAATAAAAGTTGTTCTGTTCCTTTCATTTCCTTCCGAAAACTTCTTGTATTCGCTGTTTAGGGTGAACTTGTCGGTACTTACTCCATGAATTTTAGTTTTTAAGTCAAACCACCTAAAGTCGATTATTATGCATTTTTTTTTGTTTTGTTTTGTTTAATTTTGCTATTTGATAGTGATCTCGACTATAACACAAGACATGCGAGACCAAAAAACATATGTCCTATTAATATTACTTTATACGTTTGCAACCTAATAATTAGAAACATGATAGGCTCAATCTACAAATAGTTCAACTAATAACATGAGCGATATGTAAATTTAAGTGTCTGAAATTTGGGTCTTGTAATTTTTTTGGATCATGCCATAAGAGGATTATTCCTCGTGAATATTCTAGTCTCAGTATAAGTAACTTACTTTTGATCAGATCGAGAAAGAGATTAGTGAAAGTATGTTCAAATTGGCTCAAATACTAGTGACCATTGCTCCCAAAAAAAAACATGATTGACTCTCAAGAATGAATATTTTTTTGTCCTCACAAGAAGATACTATAGTTGGAAAGGTTTTTTTTTTTTTTTTTTTTTTTTTTTTTCAGGTTGGTTGAACTAGGTTCGAGTTCAACTCATTTTTGGCTCGTTCATGTTTGACTCATTTAGACTTGAATAATTTTTTAAACTTGACTCGAACTCGACATACTTAATACATGTTAAGGTTGAGCTCGATAACGCAATTCAGGATCTCTTAGGTCGAGAGCTTAGTTCATCTAAGTTGCCCATTAATGATACCTCAAACAAGTCTTATCTGTAAGCTTAGATCAGTATGTTAGATCAGGAGGTTAGGAAAGACACGGGAGACTCAGAGAACCAGGAGTAGAGCTCCCTTTGGGGAGATCGTAACAGATCCGACTAGAAAACAGCTGGATGACTGTGAAAACTGAGCCCAATGCATGAAACTTTCAATCAATCAAGATTCTCTTCTAAAGTCAAGGAGGATTTTATGAATAATTGACAAAGATCTTGGCTGAAATCTCACATAATAGGGAGCAGCCTTATAAATACTATGTAATGCCTCATCGAGAGGGGAGGACCCTAGAAGAACCCTAATTAGATCATGCATTGAATTGTAATACATTGACTAGTAGTCAATAGAAAAAAAAAAGAGCTAGAGCCTTCATTAGCGAGTGAATTAGCCGAGCCCCAAAGCCGATGAATCACTATATTCCTACCATGCAAATTCCCCCATCTCCTGAGAAACACTTTATCATTACCATTACGAAGTTGACAACCTAAATTCACCTTTGGTCCTTCGCACTCTGTTCACCCACATTAGTCCACACCATCACCCATAGACCTCGGTTTCAGATCTCGAGCTCCCTGCATCTGCACCTCAGGAAAGGTAGTATAAAAGACAGTTGACCCTTAACAAACATCATCACGATAATGACAGTAGCTTATCCGGGCAGAAAGTTCGTAACTACCCCAACACTCACCGCAGCCGCTGCACAATACAAATAACCGTTACAAGAAAGAAACAAGGATCTCGCCATGAATCAGGCTAGGTCCATAGACAACTATAAATAAGAGACAAAGCCCTCGACAGAAACAACAAGTAATTGTAGCCTCACTAATATACTCTCTGCAAAGCCCCCCCCCCCATTATTAATATATTTCCCAGGAGCAAGAGACTCATTTGAGAGTGAATTAACCGACCTCCCGAACTGGTGAATCACTATACATCTTATAGATCTTTTGTGTGATAATCTCATTCCCTCGATCCTATTCACTAGAGCCTTGGAGCTTAGACTGAACTATTCAGTGCATCGTATATTTGTCATTCTGTTTTGTCGTGTTTTATACATCATCATATATAATTTTGTTTCTTTTCATTTATTTAATTAATATTAAATCTAGTAAAATTTTATTTTATCAAAACTTGAATGCAAAATTCTATTAAATATTTTCACATTTCAAAAGGCAAAATTATAAATAATATTGTATAATAATTTAAATATTAAAATTTATTTTAAAAATTAATAAGACCTTGTATAAATTTTCGTTTTAAGCCTCATTTTGTGTTAGGCCATCCCTAGGCTGAGGTAGGGCATTGGATGGGCATCAGGGCCACGAAGGTGCCAAATGATGGAATATTTCGTAGTTTATGGATCACTTAGTTGGATGGATGTTGAAGGTAAACATTTAGTTAGAAGTCCCATAGTGGCTACAAGCCATAGCTCAGTCAAAAATGGTGTCTGGGCAAAATAATTTTATTAATTTATCTTCTTCAACATGTAATTAAACTGTACTCAACATTAATATTTTGTTCTAATTCATTGTTACCGATTGGTTAGGAAGGGTAGTAATTTGATCATTTATCGATACGAGTCTAATAGATCCTATTTTTCTTTGTCTTTGATGGAAAATAGGGGTCAATTTGATTGTAAATGGGGGTCAATCGTTGCTCCCTCCCTGGAGATTGTAATCCCTATCGAGTCAGAAAGAGGGATGGGTTCATTTGACTAATTAGTGATTCCCGGGCCTACCTAACATAGATGCCCCTGAAATAAGAGATTGATTGATCGGAAAGGTCAAGCGAGAGTAAAATATTTCATACAATCTTTCTGATCTGCTAATTTGAAAGGCTCGTATGAATAAATCTACTACCGGATTTATATTTTACGCAACAGAAGCACTTGAAGTATTAAACGGAATAGATATTAGTTGGTAATAGTTGGAGCAGCAAACTCGAATTATGTCTATATATCTAGATGTGATCCAAGTGACTTCAAGTGTTGGG